GGGAGTCACAGACTGAAACAGGCTCCAGGCTCTGAGCTGGCAGTCAGCACAGAGCCCGACGCGGGGCTCGAACCCACGAACCGCGAGATGATGACCTAAGCGAAAGTCGGACGCTTAACCGACTAAGCCACCCAGGCGCCCCGGAGCCTTCAGATTTCTACCAGAAAATAAGGGATCAGATTTATTTTTTTAAAGAAATGATCATTTCAATGGGATGACTGTATTTCCTCTATATAAAAATATTTATGCTAAAGGTTATCAACTGGGAAGCACTAGGAAGAAGCTTTGGTTTTTTTTAATGTCCCAATGACATTTTCAATCTAATAACTCAGATCACAACTGTAGCCAAGTCAAAAGAGGTTAGCCCCAGAATCTCTGGAAATGAGATTGTTCTATGAGAATTTCAGGGGTAATCTGGCCACATTTGAAAGTCATTACCATAGTTGACATCTGAATGACATTAAATTAAGTCTCTGAAACACACCAAAAAACCCCCAAAAAACACACCCAGTTCATGTAGTTCCCGGAAATGTTAAAGGGACGGAGGAGGAGATGTGATAGGAGAGAGAGACAGGGTCCCAGGGAGAGGACTCACTTCACATACTGACATGGTGAAGGGGCACTGAAGCAGTGCCTAGGAGGGTGACAAGAAGGGGAAGCCAAGCAGTCTTTTTTTCTTTGAGAGCCACTTTAAGGATTACATCTTAACACTGAGGTCCCCATTCCCAGCCCATTACCTTGTTAAAATACTGAGTCGAAAGTCACCATTGAGGGGCACCTGGGTGGCTCAGTGGGTTGAGCATCCGACTTCGGCTCAGGCCATGATCTCACGGTTTGTGGGTTCGAGCCCCACATCGGGCTCTGTGCTGACAGCTCAGAGCCTGGAGCCTGCTTCAGATTCTGTGTCTCCCTCTCTCTCTGCCCCTCCCCTGCTCATGCTGCATCTCTCTCTCTCAGAATAAATAAAAAATTAAAAAAAAAAAAAAAAAAAAGAAAGTCACCATTGAACTTCTTGGCCAGACCAAAGATCCTTTTTTTAATCCTCATTCTTTTTGTTCTTAGTCATTTGACCTTGTTTTGAACACTCGATATTTCTTTCTTTTTCTTTTTTTTAGTCTATTTATTTACTTTGAGAGAGACAGCAGAGGGGCAGACAGAGAGGGAGACAGAGAACCCCATGAAGGCTCCACGCTGTCAGCACAGAGCCCTACACGGGGCTCAAACCTAGGGACCTCGAGATCGTGACCTGAGCCAAAATCAAGAGTTGGACACTTGACCAACTAAGCCACACGGGTGCCCCGAATTCTCGTTATTTCTAATGTACTCACTCTCCACTACCCTACTCCTTGGCCCCTCTCTCTGCTTCTCCTCTGTTACCGCTATTGGCTCCTGTCACCAATTATTCACTTTGAATAATCCCCAAATAGTAGCCCAGTCATGACACACTCTCTTTTCTTCATTCACATTTGTTGAGCGCACACAAGATTCTGTCTCATTTAGTCATCAGAACGTGTATACCCTGCCCTGCTAGCTCAGGTACTAATTTAAGCACCTGAGTAAATACAATCTCAGACTGGTCTCTTCACCGTGTACGTGAATCTGTGTGACTTTGTCTCCATCTCTGTGTATGTAAAATACATTGGCCCATTCAGATTGGAAATGCTTAAAAACAGAAAATATGAGTGGTAACTTGAGCACACAGTTGAGAGTCAGGTCTATGTTCAAATAGTGCTGTTACTCATAATGAGTGTGTACAGGTCACCAAAGCTCTCTGAACCCAACCTTCTTCATCTTCAAAAAAAAATTTTTTTTTTAATTTTAGAGAGGGTGGAGTGGGGCAGAGAGGGAAAGAGAGAATCTTAAGCAGACTCTGTGTTCGGCAAGGAGCCTGACCTGCAGCTCGGACTCACGACTGGGAGATTATGACCTGAGCTAAAAATCAAGAGTCAGACTCTTAATCGACTGAGCCACCCAAGCGCCCTCCAATTTTCTTGATCTTTAAAATGTGAATAACAGTAATACTGACTGTGAGAGAGAATAAGATAGTAAATGAAGATTTATATAAAATAGGTAGCACGGGGCGCCTGGGTGGCTCAGTTGGTCGAGAGTCCAATTTTAGCTCAGGTCATGATCTCGCAGCTCGTGAGTTTAAGCCTCGCATTGGGCTCTATGCTGACAGCTCAGAGGCTGGAGCCTGCTTCGGATTCTGTATCTCCCTCTCTCTCTGCCCCTCCCCTACTCATACTCCATCTCTCTCTCCCTCAAGAATGAACATTAAAAACTTAAAAAAACATGTAGCATATACTGGATTTTCAATAAATCATGTCTTCCTGCATTTGTATCGTCTCTCAAATCATCCATTCTAGAAACACAACTGGTGAGTTCAATTTTTTATTTCATTGATTGATTGATTGATTGAAACTAACGAGATTAAGACAATTGGGATGTACTGGGCTAATCAACCTGATATCCCTACCACATCATCTCAACTTGGTCAATAGTAGAACTATGTATCTCAATAAATCACTTAAATTACTCATCAATATTTTATTTTTTAAGAAAACAGTAACTCCAGGAAAATAGACACACAATACTTTTCATGTGTCTTTTAAATATTAATAAAGTTATTCAGGGTGTTATATAAAAGGGTTTGTAATGTAAAAGATACAAAATTAGTTTCTATTTGATGAATTCACTTACTGTGAGTTATTTTATTTAGCCTAAATTTTTCTTTGGTGGTTACTTAGGGATGGTAAACATTTCCAAAACAGAGTATGTACCAACATAGAAAATAGAGGTAGAGATCAAGAAACTCATTAAAATAAAGCCTGGCATCTTGACATCAAATGCTCCATATGAGACAACAGTATTTTTCACCTAGTAAAACCACAGAACTCTAAACTCCATGCCCTAGTGACGGCAGCCTTATTTAAATAAACGTATTCCTCAACCTGAAAGAATCCAGGCCCCTGATTAGCTGATGTGGAGATAATTATTTATAATAGCACTTACTGGTAAAGAGGAAGGGGTGAAACCTTAGACGCACACTTGGATGTGGCTTAGGCGGGTCTTACTGCTGATTCTAAAGCACCGCAGTGGAAGTCAGTGCAGTGACTCAGAGCATTGTGATGGCCCAGCTGTCCGTGGGCACATCTCTCCGGGTGTGCTCATGCATGAGTCCCCACGCCAGAGGGAAGACTAACTGGAAGGTGATCGTCATGTAATGACTTAACTGACTCTCTCACTACCAGTGTGAGAGAGGAACGTTTGGTTCCTTTCTCTTCCATACCTTGCAGTTTATTTTCATTGATTCTCAAAGTGCACATGAAAGGGCACACTGGGTCCAAGTAACGGCCACTCATGCGGTCTAGTTCTCCGCCTGTGAAAACAATACCAGCTCATAGAGAGCTCAGTCATTTCTTTCTAGTGTGTTGACCTAATTTATTTTTCTGGGAGCCATTCAGTGACTGGGGAAAGAAGCCTGCTTCACTGGGCACATTTATTTTACAGCAATGTCTCCTCTGTCCTAGGAATGTTTCATGTAAGTAACTCCAATCAGATAAACAGCATAAAAAGCATAGATCAAGGCAGGTCAGCATGCAACACCACTATCTGCAGGCATCCATATGCTCCTTTATCATATTGATCCACTTCTATTAAGTCCGATGTTAATATGTGTTATTTTGGAGCTTCTCAAAAGGACTGGGATGCATACAACACTGAACAATGACCAAACCTGGTCATAAAAATGTACGAATTGGGCGCCTAGATGGCTCATGCAGGTAGTGTCCAACTCTCCATTTTGGCTCAGGTCATGACCTCACAGTTCGGACTACTGCTGACAGCTCAGAGAGTGCTTGGGATTCTCGCTCCCTCTCTGCCCCGCCCCCACTCGTGCTCTCTCGCCCGCGCATGTGCGCTGTCTCTGTCTCGCTCAGAAGAGTTTTTTTTTTAAAGTATGAATAAACTCCCTATGTAATATACCGTTTTTATCTTGGCTTTTTTCTTTCTGACTCCAGTGCCAAAATACTGCCACTCTAAATTCTTCTTAATCGTTTGTCTTTCAGAGATATAGCTTGCCTAAGGATACTTGCAATTCATTCACAAATTAACTCAAATTAGGGTTAAAGATTACAGGCCTAAAAAGTACATTGTTTTGCTTGGTTTGGGACTATATGAAACACTTGTGCTTATCCGAGAGTTCTCTGAGTATGCCACCTCCTCCAGGAAGTCTCTTCTGACTCTTCCTTACGAGGCGTAGGCCCTTCCTCTTCGTGCTCCCGGGACATGACGCCCTCTCCTCACCTGTATTTATTCGATACCGTTTCCTTGTCTAGACTCGGGCCCCTGTAGCCCCGTCCTTACGTTCTTCCTTGTCCCCCAGCACCCGCCAAACTGGCGCCTAGGAGGTGCTTAAACGGTGTCCTCAAGATGAGTAGTCTCAAATGACCACTCGATGGCTTTCCAGTCAAAACACTTATAAGAAAAAAATTTTTTTTTTTTTTTTCTGAGAGAGTGAAAGCCACGTAATTAGCTAATGGATGAGCACTTCCTACGACCGCGCAGCCCGGCCTCTGTGGTGATTCGGCTCGTGCTGTACGAAGCCGGCTTCGGCTACACGGGCTGTTTTACCCTCCTCCGACGGAGATGTGTGAACACCGCTGACCTTACGACGGGAAGCCCGCACTCGAAGCCTTCAGGGCGAGCGTTCGCCCCCGGCTCCCCCTCAAGGCCGACAAAGGACACGGCGCGCAAACGACTCGGGCGCCCGGGCTGGAAAATCCTCCACGCGGGGGGGCGGGGTCGTTGCCACGCACGCACGCACGCACGCACGCACGCACGCACGCACGGCGGAAAGTCAGGAGCCCGGCGCGCCGGCCAAGCACGTGTGCGTGCGCTCGCGCCCCCGGAAGCGCGCCAGGCGCCTGCGCCGGACGCTATAAATAGTGGGAGCTCGCGCGTCGTGAGCAGCTGACGCTCTCCCTGCCGGGCCCAGCTGTCGAGGGGCGTCCCGAGCGAGGGCCGCGCCCGCCGGAGACTCTGGTCACCCCGCCGCGGGGCTCCCGGGCCGCGATGTCGGTGTTGGAGGAGAGCCGGCCGTTCGCGCAGCAGCTGTCCAACGTCTACTTCACCATCCTCTCCCTCTTCTGCTTCAAGCTCTTCGTGAAGATCAGCCTCGCCATCCTCAGCCACTTCTACATCGTGAAGGGCAACCGCAAGGAGGCGGCCAGGATAGCAGCTGAGTTTTACGGAGTAACCCAAGGTCAAGGTACGTTTAGGGTAACGCGCGCCCGTCGCCGTCCTGGGGGTGGCGTGGGGGGGGACCTCGCATGTTCGCTTCAGGGGCCCCTTCAAAGCCGACTGTGTCTTTAACGTCCCCCTTTGAAAACCGTTTCTCAACCTCATGGCTTCCGGGAAAAAGAAACTCATTTGGCCGTGCCAAGGTCTGGGTTCATAAAATCGAGGCATCGCGGCAAAACGGATTAGTGGAAACCTGCCGTGGAGGATGTATTTCTCTGTTAAAAAAAAAAAAAAATATCTGAAAACCTGAAACATCGCATTGGTCGCGCTGTAATTCTAGAGGCTTCAGTTACCGATCGTACTTCAGTCGTCCTTTAACGCGCACCCGGGGTTTTGTGATTTTTAAATCCACTCTTTGGTCGGACGTAAAACAAGTGTCGTGGAAAAGAGAAGAGCTGAAGGTTGCATTTGTGTTTCACAGCGTTTCTCTTGGCAAGATTAGAAAATAAAACACGGCGTGTCGAATACTAGGATTTACGCATGTGTTTTTCTGGAAGGAGCTGTCGTTGCTTTGCCTAAGTGTGTAAAAACTTGGTTATAAGAGGATGGGAATATGAATTGACCGATTTTGTGTGTGTAGCCAAAGACGTCTACTCACGTTTCTTGGAAGAAACTGAAGGATGAGACCAAATACGAAAGTCATTTTAACCATAGGCTTTAAAAGCTGTAAAACCACTTTTCTATTCTATCGGACTGATGTTCTTTCTATACAGTAAAACAGCTGTTATGGTGAGCGTCAGGATGACAATTTAATTTCTTACAGCCTTTTGATTAATTTCTGGTTCGAACGTCAGCAGGCAGCTATGCACATTTTAGACCCCGAATTCCTCCAAAGTAACTTAAAATTTCAGAATCCAAATGTACTATCAAGGAATGAGAAAACTTAATTTTTTTTCTTTTTTAAAAGAGAGCACTTAGAATGGAAAGCCTGCCTTCTTAAAATCTGTTTTTCTACCTTGTCCGTTTGTGGAATACTTCATTTTAGAATCTAGGTTACTCTGTAGGTATGCGGAACACTGAATAAAGGTAGAAAGTCTTTTTTGGTGTGTGAGATGGATAATAAGTCTATTTTTCCCGGAAAACATGTTCTTATGCAAAGTGAGAAATTTATGTACTCGATTCAAAGGGTGGAAAATCTAAATGCCACTGTGAAACTCTCACAAGAAGATGGGCTCTAGAGGGAACAGGCATATGTAATCCTTTGCCCAGCAGCCCAGCTTCGCAGAGGCTGTAGCTATTTAAATGTGGCGCATGCTGGGTTGGTAAATGGAATATTCTGTTTAGGAAGCAGCAGACTTAGGAAACTAGATTTTTAAAACAAAAACCCTATTTCTAGATAGAAGATTAAATCAGTAGTACGATCATAAGGTGATAAAAGTTATGCTCCTAGGCAGCCTATAACTCATTACTTCATAGTCAAATCTTGTCTACCTATTATGAGAATTGCCAAATGTAAAAGTGTGAAATACTGGCTAAAAGTCGACACTTTTTGGGGAGTGACAAAAACTGTCAATTTTAGAGAAAGCTATGGTCTCTCCTTTTTGTACATAGTCATAAGTAAGTGGAGACAATTGTCCCCTCTTTAACCTGATCTCAGTGCGCTTCTGCTGGAAGGCACAGGAATATATGAAATTCCTTCCACGTTCCCATCTAGTTTTATGAGTCTGTGTTAAGATATACTAGAACTCTAGGATTCTGTCCCAAAAAAGAAGAAAAAGAGGGGCACCTGCGTGGCTCAGTCGGTTAAGCGTCCAGCTCTTGATTTCGGCTCAGATCATGATCTCACGGTTTGTGAGTGCTGACAGCACAGAGCGTGCTTGGGATTCTCTCTGCCCCTCCTCTCTCTCTCTCAAAAATGAGTAAACTTTTTATTTTTTTTTTAAAGGAAAGAAATAAATCAACACTCAGTAGTGGAAAATCTTTTCCTGGGAATATAAATAGGGAACATAAGGTTTAAACATTTTTTGTTTTCTCTTGTTATAATATGATATTGATTTAACAAAATTCTTCTTTCTCATATCTTGTGTTAATCTACATATTAAACAGTAGAATATATTATTATAATTTTTATTCAGTGGAAGCATAATGAGTCTCCAATTTTACTATAGTATGAGGAGGACAGCCAGGTCTTTTTTTTTTTTTTTTTTTAACAAACTCTTGACCTCCTACCTCTAAGAGTTCGTTTTTCTTTGCCTTGGATATTATTAATGTCTCTATTTTAACGTAACTCTTCATTTTATTTCCTAAAAACTATTTTTATTTTGTTTATGTTTTTAGAATTAATGAATCAGCCTTCATTATCTTTGTTTAATCTAGCAATTTCCTCCTGCCTAGGAAAGATTATCACCTTCATTCCACTTTGAATGAGGCCTCTCATTCCTACTTTCAAGACTTAGCCAGACTGTTCCCCAACATTTCTGATGTACAGTTGCCAAATTCCATGAAATAGGAGATGATGTGTGTATTTTCATGTCTTTCATAACCACCGAGGACTCTGTTGACAAGGTCCTGGATGTCCTCTCCCTGAGCCAGAGTCCTTTGGTATGAAGCCAGAGAAACCGTGTCTTACTAGATGCCATTGCAGATCAGCTCATTGTATCTGAGCAATGACAGGTAGAGGTTTTTTTTCAAGTACTTTCCGATCAGGCTTGGGACCAAGGTATGATGACACAACAAGAATGCTGAAGACTAAATGGTCACTAAGATCGTTTACAGTGGTTTCCTTCTTGATCTCTTTGCGATGCCAATAAAACGTACACATCTGCCTCTTCACCTTTTGTACTGAAGACTCTTATTGACTCCCACCATCATGGTGAAGGGATGTATTTATTGTACTTTTCTCTCTAACTACCTCCTGTATCATTCTAGCTGGTAAATGTCCTGGCTACAATTTCTAAAATATCAGAGGACTAGTTTATTTTTAAAGTTAGCACTATACTTTGAGACTAACAGTGAGGCTAACAGGAGTTGAAAGATGTTTTCAGCTATGGAATCAAACAATACAGAGAGCCAGGGAGGCTATGGGGGAGCACAGTGATTTTATGAAATCACTCCAGGGGCCTAGAAAAAGCCGTGAACTACTAATGCCCCAAGGACACGTCAAGAGACATGGAGGTGAAGGGTAATACTTTTCATGTTCTATCTTAGGCTCTGAAGAAAGTTCGGTAGCTTTACCTATGAGTAGACAGAGCCAGTTCTAAGCATCTGTTTTTGAGTACCTTTCGTAGCAAGACACTATAGAAACAAGGCATAAAAAGGCAAAATGTGGGGCGCCTGGGTGGCTCAGCCAGTTAAGCGTCCAACTCTCGATTTTGGCTCAGGTCATGATCTCACAGTGGGATCAAGCCGTGTGTGGGGCTTTGTGCTGACAGCATGGAGCCTTCTTGGGATTCTCTCTCTGCCCCATCCCTACTTGTGCGTACACATTCTCTCTCTCTCTCTCTCTCTCTCTCTCTCTCAATAAATAACTTTAAAAAAATGTAAGCTGTATTTTTTGCACCTGGAAGTGGTTTATTCTAATTGAGGAGGCTGATCTTGAGTGGACCCCAGGAACTAGCAGAGACATGCATTGGGGTGCTCATAGAATTTTACGAAACAGATGTAACTGGTGTGAAGGTTCATGTAGTAGAAAAATGATAATAAATTGGGCAGAGATATTTTTAAAGAATTTTTAAATTATTTTTTAATTTATGTGAAAGAGAGAGCAGGCAAGGGGCAGAGAGAGGGGGAGAGAGAGAGAATCCCAAGCAGGCTCTACACCATCAACACGGAGCCCCATGCAGAGCTCAGGCTTGCAAACCACAGTTCCTGACCTGAGCCGAAATCAAGAGTCAGACTCTTACCAGACTGAGCCACCCAGGTGCCCCACTGATAGGAAAGAATTTGAAAGGCAGGTTAAGCTGTTCGAACTTAAATTAACTTTGAAGGCACTAGGACTCACTGGGAGTTTTTGCTATGAGTCAAAGGGGGGAAGTGGGAAAATACAGTATAAAACCTTAATCTGAAGTACATGTACATATAATAGTGATCTTTGGAGTTGGACACTGGGACAGGCTTGAGGTAGGTAAGCCAGTTAGGCTCCTGCCTTGAGGAGATGTGGGGCTAGACTTGCCTGGTGGTGGTAGTGTGGACAGAAAAGAAAGAATGATAATACAAAAAAATTAAAAGAAGACAAGAAGAAAGAAATGAATCTGTTGAAAGCTTTAAATGGCATTGGCAGAGAGAGCAGATGTTACTCTAGGGTAACTGCATGCCCCCCAGGATTAGACATTGAGACATCTAAAGGGAAAGTCTGTCGTTCAGCAGAGGAATTGATTAGCCACTCAGGGGAGTCTGCAGCTCCCAGCCAAAGCCACTGGGGATGGGGGGGGAGGGGGAGGGACACCCCTCGCTGCTTGGTGAGTCTGCTGGGTCACTTTTCCCTCCTGTGAAACATCGGGGTAAATCAGGAAGTGGGGGATCTAGAATCTGAATTCTAGTCTCACGTTTGATTTATGTAAGACTTCTGTCCCACTTTTTCATCACCACGTAACCTCATGATTATGACTTGGCTCTCTGTACATCTGTCCACAGAAAGACAGTGGGCTGGCTTGCCCCCATGAGTGTTTTAGTCTCTCTGACTTTCCTGCTGCTTGTTGTAAATTAACATATTTGCATCTTGACAGCAGTCTTTAGTGTTTTGTGCTCTTTGAGTCCTAAGCCCACCTCGGGCGGATGTGTGACTTTGCTTTGGCCTTGCTGATAAATGGGGCTGCTGAGCCTGCAAGGGCCTGGGCCAAATCTTGCGCTGCGGGAGATTCATCAAAGTAATGTCTGTCTGTTCGGCTGCTTGAAAAACAGTCTCATGACATGCAGACTCTTTGGGGACTGCTTTCTGGTCTTATGATTTCAGAAATTTGGTTTTAGGGTTACCTTTGAGCATGCAACATTTTTTTTTTTTTGACATGTCTGTTGTTGAAAATAGGCTAC